ATCCCAGAACCGTGGGATCATGACCTGAGCTGAAGGCAGTCGCTTAACCAACTGAGCCACCTAGGCGCCCCATTAAACCTTAATACTTTTTAGAATTACTAACAAAATAAAGAAAGCTAAGGAGAAACAAATATTAGTGATTTCAAACTACTGAGAGGAAGAACTTCTTTAGAAACTGGCTAATAGTAAAAATCATAATCATCCTTTCAAAGGAATGTTAGCGTTATTTTAAAAATACAACTTGATTAAAACAACAACAACTCTCCAGTATTTCCTGATTACATTCAGGGGATTCATACTTATAGCCAGTTACTTTCTTTTTAAATATTTGTTGAATTTCATAGGGTGATAAGTAGCAATTTAAATGACAATTCAGAACTATCAGTAGTTTCATTAGAATTATCAACAGTGCATCATAAAATTATTCCATGACATTTTCTAATTCCTAAAACTCACTTCCATCACAAGAAAATATTTTAACAAGTAACAGCTTAAAACCTAAATTAAAAATTGTGATAATAAGCCTTTTTAGGCAGGAGAGGAATAGGGCCTTAGTTTATCTATAGATCATTAAGAGAAGTACTGGGCCTAATTGGATCCTAAATTAAGTAAAGAATGTAATTAAACATGCAGCGACAGTGACATCTAGTGTCAGCACTTGGCCACTGGACTACCATCAAATCCTCCCAAGTGCTGAAGAAACAACTATTCAAAACTTTTCTTTAAAAACCAACAAACGGAACTTGTACATTATATCTAAAAATTACGCATCATTAAACTGTTTCAATAAGTTTCCTTCCAGACATTGAAAAAAAAATCTTAAAAGGAAAACATCTTAAAGAAAAACCGTAACACTAAAGACCTAAAAGTAAAAAAGCATTGTTTATTCCATGTGGCCAACATCTATCTGTAACTGCTCCCCTTGGCTACAGAGTTTAACGCAAAAAAGCAAAGATACTATACAAGCTAGTACTTGGTTAACATATCAAGAAAAAGCAACTTAGGACATTTCAGGAATACCTGAAGATGCAAAGAAAAAAAAAAAACTTCAGCTCTTGCACCGAGAAACAAGCTCAATATTTCAGCCCTTGCTACCTTGCTGTATTTTTGTTGCTTTGAAAGGTCCACTTTTAAACAGTAGGTATTTTTACCGAAGAGCTTAGAATTTGGCAGCCTAAGTTAATTTACTATAGCATTTTAATAGTTTTATGCTCTAGATGAATCCATAAAAGTAAGCAAATTTCCAAAAATTATTTTTGGCCAGGACAATATTTTGTAAAAAGTAAAGTTAGCATTAGATGAAGCTTACCTATTTTTTTTGGAGAGTTCATCCTTTCCCCTTTTAACTCCAAATATTCTTGTGATCAAGGTACTAAAAAGAAGTGTGGATGAATTTCTCACCTAATGTAAAAATAAACGCACAATAAGGGTTAAGAAATATACATGGCATGAAACCAACATTTACAGTGTTCAAACTTGACATTCAAAGTCCTTACCCAATTGGCTAATGTGGGGCTAAAGCAAATATGGTTTGTGTTCATGAAATAATTTTCAAAAACTGTATAGTAACTGACTCAATGACTTCCTCTTACACTAAGCTCTATAAGCCAACCACATGCACACAACACAGCTCTTTCCTATACTTCTAACATTACCACCAATTATTTTATTTCTTTGTACTTGTATCATCAAATAACACATATATTTTTTTTTAATTCATTCCCCTATATTGTTTCTGACAAGGACTAACCCAGAAAAGAGCTCAGCTCTTTCCACTTATTTTCTGTAATCATTTACCTACAGGAAATATAAATTTATAAGATGTAACTCAATCCACATTAATTAATATGGTCAAGAAAATACTTATTATCCAAAATGTTGTTTATTAACCCCACAATGGAGTAATTTAATAAATTTTAACCCTATAATCATCTGAGACAACTGGCTAATAAAAATAAGAGGAGGGAGGGGCTCCTGGGTGGCTTAGTCGTTAGGTGTCTGCCTTCAGCTCAGGTCATGATCCCAGCATTGGGCTCCCTGCTCGGCAGGAAGCCTGCTTCTCCCTCTCCCACTCCCCCTGCTTGTGTTCCTGCTCTCTCTCAAACAAATAAATCTTAAAAAAAAAAGTTAGAGGGGCTCCTGGGTGGCTTAGTCGTTAGGTGTCTGCCTTCAGCT